CCTGGGACAGGCTTTGCTCTGTGGTAGAGGCTGGTTTTTCACTCCAGCACTCAGGAGGCTGAGGCAGGAGGAGCACGAGTTCAAAGCCAGCTTCATCAACAGCAAGGCACTAAGCAACTCAGTGAGACCCTGTCTCTAAACAAAATACAAAATAGGGCTGGGGTGTGGCTCAGTGGTTGAGTGCCCCTGAGTTCAATCCCTGGTACCAAAAGAAAAAAGAAAAGAAAACCACACAATTAAATAGCAACCATGGCGCTGCAAAAGAGAAACCTTTTTTTTTTTAGTTGTAGATGGACACAGTACCTTTATTTATTTTTATGTGGTGCTGAGAATCGAACCCAGTGCCTCACACATGCTAGGCAAGCACTCTGCCACTGAGCCACATCCCCAGCACGAGAATGAGGAATTTATTATGTATTAAGAGAGCCAGGCCATAGTAAATAGAAAAAGCCATGTCCAAATCAGTACACTACCCTCTATGTACGTTAAATGAATAAAAAGATTTTTAAAGGATCCAAATTTCTATTTGATTTTTGCATTTTGTATAACAGGAATTCCTAGAAAAATAAATAAGAAACTGATATAGGTGTTACCTGTAAAAGCCAGGCTGGGGGGGTGGGGGTTCTTAAGGCATGGGTGGGATCAGGACAATGTCTTTTTGTGAGTTTTTAACTTCTCAATCATGTGCATTACCGTTAACATATTAAAAAAATAGAACTTAGAAAAAAATAGCAGTGAGCTTCCTTTCCACCTATTCCAACTACTAACCCACTTAAACAGATGCAGTGGCTATGCATCAAGAAATGACACTGCAGACTAGGGTTGTGGCTCAGTGGCAGAGCGCTTGCCTAGCATATGTGAGGCAGTGGTTTTAATCCTCAGCACCACATAAAGATAAATAAATAAAATTAAGATATCGTGTCCATCTACAATATATATATATGACTCTCCCCAGCTGCTGTGGAGATTACTGATACTTCCACAGAAAGAAGAAATTACATAAACTCTTACCACTTCTGCGAATGGTGAGGAGGTCTAATGCTTTCATAAATGAGCTAATGGTTTGATAAATAACATTGAATTTTCCCTACAAAATAATACATAACACGTTTTTTAAAGTTACCAAATGAACCCATTGGGTAATAGAAGAAATGACAGATTCTCACCAGTAGGGGCACTGACACAGGCAGGAGGCTGAAGTAGAGTGATCTCAAATTTGAAGTCAGTTTGGGTATGTTAGGGATACCCTGCTTTAAAATAATAATAATAATAATAATAAAAAATGGTCTAGGGATGTAACTGAAGAGGTAGTATGCTTCTTGGCCTAGCATAGGCCAAGCCCAGGGTCCAAACCCCAGAACCAAAAAAGAAAAAAGAAATGTCAAACTTTTAAAACAAGATAGCACTTTGCCTGATGTAGACAGAACACACTGAGGAAAAGCCAAAGTTGTAGAAGAGCCAGGTGGAAGCAGGTGTGGTGGTACACAACTGTAATCCCAGCAGCTCAAGAGGCTGAGGCAGGAGGATCCCAAGTTCTTCTAAACAGAACTTAGAAAAAAATAGCAACTTAGGCCCTAAACAACTTTGTGAGACCCATGCCTCAAAATAAAAAATAAAAAGGGGGTGGAGATGTGGGGGATTTGGCTCAGTGCTTAAGGGCCTCTGGGTTCAAACCCTGGTACCAAAAATAAATAAAAAGGCTGGGTGAAGGAGATACTAGATAACAACTGGTTAAAATTCTGTCCATGTTCACAGGGGAACACAGTGGTTTTGTTGTTTCCCTTCCCCCTTTTTTACTTTGAAAGCCAGAATGTTCTAACTGTTCCAGGTTTCTTCAAAGCTCTAAATAAATTCTAGCAGAACCTAGCAACAGAACAGTTACAAACTGTTAAGCATTAGCTCTAAACAATTTACCCCCAAATTGGTAGTAGGTATTTTTCCTCAGTGTATACCAGAGTTAACGTTTTTTTCTGTGGCCTGAAGAAAAAAATGTTAAAATATGTAAGTGCCTTTCAAAATATAAGCCTGCATGTTTACAGCATTTCCTTCAAATGAAATCTAAATTATTATATCATTCTGTAAATGTCTGTGATGCCCAGCTCCTAAATTAAAATTGAAAGTTTTAAAAAAATATATATTTTTGTATTATTTTCAAATAGAAGGATCATGAAATAACACATTCAGTAGGACCAATGGGCATTTATTTATTTTTTATTTTTTTAATATTTTTTAGTTGTAGTTGGACACAATACCTTTATTATTTATTTATTTATTTATTTTTATGTGGTGCTGAGGTTCGAACCCAGTGCCTCACACATTCGAGGCAAGTGTTCTGCCACTGAGCTACAATCCCAGCCCTTTTTCTCTCTTCTCCGCTTTCTTTAACCACCATGGAGATCTCTAGGCTGCTTCAATCATAGCCTGTCATGGAGAGAAATTGTTACAGAAATCCTCTCATTTTACAGATCTGAAACTAAGGTGCCACCAGGGTTTCAGCATTTCACCAGTCACACCATCCTTAATGGCAAAGAAAAGAACCCATTCTGCCAAGTGACAATCCAGCACTCCACAGGACCACACTACATTAGCATTTTAAATGATTCTAACACAGCCCTTCTTTTTATGAATGCAAGAACTGCAATTCCCAGAGAAAGGAGGCTAAGGTATCTTTCCCCACTCCTGATCCCTGCTGGGAAATCTGCACATCTAAATGCCAGCTGTCTTTTGAGATTTTAAAATAGAATTACCTTACTAAAGAGAGGGCTTGTTAAGGAGATGGAATAATGAATGACTACTGCATTTGCTTAAATTAAGAAGCTACCCATTGCAATCCATCTAGCCTGCCAGTGACCTGCATCTGTTTCCCTAAGAACACCCGAGAGGCAACAGTGACAAAAGTACCCATTTTTACTAATAGCTAAATTTTAAGCAGAAATTGTGACAGGCAAATATTTACCAACCAACAGGAAACACCTGCAGTCAGCTGCAAACTTTTACAACAGCAAAGGTACAGGAAGTAAGGCCACTATTTGCCTGACAGTCTTCCTTTTCAAGTCTCTTTACTGTCAAATGCGTTGTGAGGGCATGACCTTAAAAGTTTGTAATAAAATGGAAATGTCTTAAACACCCCCACAGTGGTACACTTCCAGAGTAAAGCATTTGCCCAGCGGGATGTTACAGTCTGGGGTCTGCTAAACTGCATTTAAATTTCTAATCTAGCTCTCCACCAGCCACATCCTTTGAGAGGTTGGAATTATCAAACCCACCAACTCCAGTGGAACTGAATTCCACAAAGACAGAACAGACAAGGCAATTAGTCTTTCAGTTAAAAAATAAACAAGTACAGTAAGGTAGCCAGAACACCTAAAACACCTAATTTACTTGACAGAATCTAGGAAACTAACTATAGATATTTTTAGGTCTGTTTTTGAAAGTAGGTAAAAACTTAGAATGATGCTAAATAGCTATCGTAGAAAAGCCATCTCCCCACGCACACTATTCCTTGAGTAGAATAATGAGAGGGAAACAAACTGTTTGACTACATGGATCTACCAATTCAAATTCCTAAGGATGGAAATGCTCAATCACACATCAAGTTAGCCAGTAAGGGATGGCTTTATAAATTCAAGTATGAAAACTGAAAACCATATGACATCTACTGAGTATAAAACTAAGATAGGAATCTGGGAATAAAGGGAGAAATACAGAGTATCAAAGTAAGCGCCCATAAACCACTGAAACGCTGAGAATGAAGCCAGATTTAAAATTAGGCAGTCAGTGTAGTTAGGTAAATTGGGTCTAATATCCAGTGAAATCTAAAATGGAGGCCATGTTGAGAATGGATTTCCGGAAAAGTTGAGCAACTCTTGAAATGTTAATGAAGTCCCAAGAAAAACCCTAGGCCCAAAGCCCATCCCAAAGAAATGTTAATGAACAGCCCCAGCAGATTTGAAGATAGCCCATCCCAAGAAGTGTTAATGAATCCTTCCTGCCCAGATTACTTCTTTGGCCCACCGGTGTCCCACCCCTCGGGCATTCCAACCTACATTCCATCACTGAAAGAACTATAAAAAGGGGAAACAACCGCACTTCCATGGATTCCATCTCTTGGGTCCCCTTCTTCCTCAGGGAGAAGTCTTTTCTGCTGTCCTTTAATAAACTTCTAATTTTCCACTCTGACCTTGCCTCGGTGTGCTTCTCTGGTGTTATTCTTCAACATTGGGGAAGCAAGAACACCCATAAACAATTCCAACTCCTGAGCAGCAAGGCCTTAGCCCTGCACCCTTGGCCCATACTCTTTTAACTGAGGACAATGAGTAAGTGCAGGGAAAACTGATGTGAAACTGTGCAACTCCATTCTGGCCCCACATCTAGTCCAAGCCTAGCAAGCTTCCTCTATAAATAGTGCCCCACACCAACAGGCTGCTGACTCTCCTTCAGGAGATGGCCTGTCCACATTTGGGGTTCTGGTTACTTTATTCCAAAGGCATTTCTTGATATTGCCACCATTATCCCTAGAATATGTAACTACTTTCCTAAATGAACATAGGTCTATGTCTTCGTGGGAGCTGGAATTCTGTTCCTCCAGGTATGCCAAGAACTGTACTGGTCTGAGTCAAGTTCCCTTTTATAAGAACTCCCAACCCTTGGGGACATGTCTTCTCATTTCTCCAATAACTGTCATGAGAGAAGTATTAACTTGTTTTGTTTTATAGTGCAAACAATAATATACTGGCAAAGGGGCCAAATGTTTTACTCTGAAAAGGTGCCTTTGTGGGAAAATCAAGTTTGGTATTTAAAATATCTTCAATCTCAACAGAATTTGGTAAATAGGCATGTTTACCAATTTTAGTTTATAAGTATTTTGCTTTGATTTTTTAAAAACTGTTAGAAAATGCTTTTCTAGCTCCTGCGTTTTAAAAGTCCTAAATCTTCTCTGTCATGACAGTTTACAAGATGTAGCAAATCCCCCCAACAAAAAAGTCACAAAATCAACATTGTGAATATTTTAAAAGTTTATTTCTATTTTAACTAGCCCACAGACCCAACTTTTTGAGGGCTGAGTTGATTTCTTTCTAGCACATGGTCCGTGGACCCTCTTGATGGTCATTTTCTTTCCGCCTCCTTCCAAAACGCACCTTTCATCATGATGCACATTTTATGGTGAAATTGCCAATACAACCCTCAAAATGCAAATTTATTGAATAAAGCTGAGAAGAGGAGTAAACAGACGAAAAATGCATCCACCTAAATAAAAAAATTCTGTATTTACAAAGTTCGGTAACTGTTAAGTTTTCACATGCAGAGGTTACGCACAGGAAAATGTTGGTAGTAGTCTTTCGATGTCTTGAAATGCTAAAAGCAATGAACAGACACACAAACAGGTTAAGGGTTAGCTATAGGTCCATTAACAAACCTACGCAGTTCCCGTGGAGTCACACATTCTAGTTCCAATTCCTCCTTTTAGGCACAAGCAAGTTGTCATATTGAAATGGTTCACAGTGACCATTAATGATGTCCAACTACAGTAGCAAGTTTGTCCCTTTGTTTACAGAACCACCCATCCCTTCTTGGAAGTATGCCACATGCCTCAAAGAATAAGAAGAGAACTTTGAAAGCACAAATTCTCCTCGTTTAAAATGTGAATGTAGAAAAACAAATAGCGTGTGTGCAACACAGTGCAGTATTTTGTACAGAATTTTCTTAAGGCCATGGCAGTCTATAAATTAAAACTTAAAGAACTGACTATTGACTACACTCTGCGTGCTCAACACATCTGGAAATGCACTGTGTATGTAAGTGCTGCTTAACAGAAGAAACAAAAGTCACACACGGTGTGAGGCAACACAGAAGCAGGTGTAGCACAGAGCTTTATCCAGTACACAATATCAGAGTAACGATTTACAAGTTAACCAGTATTAATATGTCCCTTTATGTATATGGAGATCACTAAGCTACAAAACATGTTCATTTTCAGTTTTTATACGTTTCTGTATCATAGAAGCAAACAAAAGACAGCCTCAGTTCTGTATGATTATTAAACAACCTGTAGACATTGCGCAGGATTACATTAGATAAAGCAGGCAGGTCTAGAGTTGTCACAATAATCAAGATGTCTAATGGCACCAGACAAAAGAGTGCCGAACCTTATATTGGTAAGAGAAAAATAGGAATTTTATTTGTTTATAAGCATCTCTTGTGCTGAAAGTCAACGTTGTGACTGGATATGAAACATCAGGAGTCACAGTGTCACGCAGCAGCACTGAGTCAATGACTGGAGACAGGAGAACAAACAGGTGTTTGAACAAGTCTGACATTCTTAACAGATTTTATTATATTGGTTGGAATGCTCTAAATTCACGAAAGCTTGAGAAAATCTTCAATTCCCAACCCCTTAAAAAAGTGTGTTCAAAGGAAAAAAAATAGTAATGATCTGGACAGATACAAAACAGCATGCTCATTTCTTCCCACGTCCCCACTGCCATCTGCTGATAAGATTCTCAGAAAGCAGAACATTCTTAAAATTCACCAGGTAGGATGTCTCCAGTATAAAGAACCAACATTGATCTGGTGCCTCTGCTTTGCAGACCATTTTTTAATTCCTAAGGTGTAATTATACATTTCACATGCATTTGTGAGACAAGATAAACATTATGTTTATATCTCACATGAGTCAGGCTTAAAGGTTTTCTAAATACTGTGTGTGGCACTAGAAATTTCATGCTGTATCAAGTCCATATCAATATTAAGCTACTGGACTCTATAATGAAATATTATAGATATTTACTGAAAACCAATATAAAACACTGGCCCAGAAAGACCAGTCTGGGAAATATGCGATTTTCTTGATTTAAGATGGTCATGTGTGTGTGTGTGTATGTGTGTGTGTGTGTTTAAAAAGCTCTACACACTGTTTAAGACAATTATGTGTGAGAAGCCTTTTCATGTATGCCGACTTTATCATGACAACTCTAGCTGATTCTTTATGAAGGATTAGGGATACACATCTTCAGCAGTGCACATGAGAAATAAACTCTGAAAAAGGCAATTTCTTGGGTTTAGGAAGGACCGTATTCTGGGAAGTACTTCAGAGGAACGGACAATAATTCTAGGATTATAGCCAAGAAGGACTGGAAGACTTCAGGAGATGTTTCAGCTTCTTCTAGATTTTGAATGTTGAATAAGCCACTGAAGTGTGATATCTAGAGACAGAAGGAAAAGTGAAAGTGTCAAGATACCAAAATTAAAAAACTAAATGTCAAACAGACAATACTTAACATGCAGCCATTTCAAGGCACATGGCGGTCTCTTCTGCTTCACTGTAGCTGTACTCCATTACCTGAGCTTCATGAGGATAATATGAGAAATTATCAGAGACTGGAGATGGAGAGTCTGCTCATTTAAAAATGAAATTGTGTAAAGAATAACTGAAGCCATCTTTTACTCACTGCCTATAACATCAATTATTGCATGTAAATTGACAGAAATGCAAAGATATGGGAGAGCCTCCTGTATCCCAAGACTTTTAAGTATGATAAAAAGACACAAGTAATCATTTGGGTTTGTGGTACCTTATAGAATGTCAGCCAAGAGACTGCAAAAGCCAAAGAATCAAAAAGGGCACAAACCAGTGTGCAACTAGGATGGACTGTGAGTGACAAGTGTGGCTAAAGCACAGGTCTGGAGGAGGGGCTGTCACTATGGGCCACAGCAAGGGTTCCACAGCCTTGCCCTTTTCACACTCTGAGCTGCATTAACACTTTCCTGTGTTGCAGGGTGAGCCTTTCCTGTGCTCTGTAGAATATTTTGCAGCATCTGTGGGCTTAACCACTACAATTCCCTTATCACCCCACATGCACTGTGACAACCAAAAACATCTCCAGACATTGCCAAATGTCTTCTGGGGAGCAAAATCATCCTGTGTTGAAAACCACTAGACTAGAGGGGGACAGATAACTCTGTACTCCAGTCTTATGTGCTAACAAATCAAGATTGTAGTCTCAGGTCAACAGGAAGTCACTGGAAAGTTATCAGCAGAGAAGGTCTATCAGTTTACTTTACTTAGTAAGCTAGCAATATCAACAAAAGGACAATGTGGAGGTTTGCCAAGATGGAGGCTGAGCATTCCAACCGGAACAGGAAAGATATAAAGGCCTGGAGGAAGCCAAGCACTGTATGGATGGAGTGGAATAAGGAACAGGTTGAGACAGAGAACTGACAAGAGATGGTAAGTGACTATAGGTATTAAGTGAGAAAGAATCTTCTGGCCTGAATGAATACCTGTCATGTCCCTGCTAAGTAAGGCAGTAGCTCAAAAACAGCTCTGAGGGAAAAAGACAAAGAATGCAGCTGCGGACACATTACAATGTGGGGAACCACATGCCAAGGTGTCTAGCAGGTGAGGTAGCTCCGCAGATAAGAGAAGACATGGGGACTAGCAAGGTCTTCTCAACACATAGGTGGCAGATAAAGCTACCGCAGTTCACATCAATGAGAAAAAGAACACAGACTGAGGAGAAAAGGCAGTAAGTTAGGATGCTGAATTACTGTTCTGTGTTCTCCCAAGACTGAAGCAAGAAGATCAAAAGTTCAAGGCCAGGGTTAAGGCTGTAGTTCAATGGTAGAGCACTTGCCTAGCATGTGTGAGGCACTGGGTTTGATCCTCAGCACCGCATAAAAATAAAGGGGCTAGGGTTGTGGCTCAGTGGTAGCACACTTGCCTGGCATGTGTGAGGCACTGGGTTCAATTCTCAGCACCACATATAAATAAATAAAGGTCTATCAACAACTACAAAATAAATACATAGACAAGCAATCAAATAAATAAATAAAGGTATTGTGCTCATCTACAAAAAAAAAAAAGTTCAAGGCCAGCCTGGGTAACTTAGCAAGGCTTTCCCTCAAAGTAACATAGTAAAGGAGCAGGGGCCTAGGTATGAGAGAGCTCAATGTAAAGCACTTTCCTGGCAAGTGTGAATCCCTAAGTTCAATCCCTAGCACCACAAAAATAAATAAAGAATAAAGGGGGGTGTCGCCCACCTAAAGGATGTGAGAAACTATTAGAAGTAATTATATTCTCTTAGGCCCCAAGCCTAAAAGAAAAGTATAAATTTGATCTTCCAGTTTCCCAACTAACATGCATTAGAGAAAATGTAAGCAGCACACTATAAAGAAGAGTCTAGATCTGAGATATGAACAAATATGACCTGCTCACGGGAATAGGACTTAACACAACTGTTAAAACAGGTCCTTCACATCCCTACTGAGGCAGTAATAAGGAGGAAAGGTGACTCTGAAGTGAACAACCAAGTATACATGTTTAAGAAATTCATTAAAAAACAAACAAAAACCTCTGTGGACACTGGACAGGCAATAATGCTCTATAGACAGATGAATCATTGAGGCCAGGTTAAAATGCAGAAAAGAAGTGCTCTATACAGATGGAGACTCATCTTCTAAGAAAAAAAAAAAAAAAAAAAAGTCACAGTATAAAGGGTCCTTGCAAAGATCATCTTCCCAGAGGTAATCTGTCCCCCATGTGATCTGAATGAAACTGAGGTATTTCATGTGCAACACAAATATCTAATGTGACTGTTAGTTTTATTTCTTGTTCAAAACAAAAAACAGACATTCTGATTTACAAACTACTCACTTTGATTCTAGTTTCCTTAGACTTGGTAACACAGACTTGGTAACACTTTAAGTGAATCAACAGTTTTGAAATTACAAACATGATGACTACTGACCCATCCAGCCTCAAACAGCATAAGTTCTCACCAGCTCTGCTGTATCTCCTGCATAACTGGGTTCAAGAGACCCCTCCCCCCTCCACAGGAAATTTAGTTATTTTATGACATTAGTAAAATAAAAAATCATTTGTCTTCCTTCAAAGTTCTTGTTGTTTTCTATTTTAGGAAACACTTAAGAAAATAAAAGGGAGTAATGTCTTTATAGAATAGTGTGATGTACTAAAAATTACAGTTACTATAGAGCAAGGTTTCTCACCCTTGCAACTATTGATGTTTTATGCTGTTAATTCTCTGCTGTGGGGTCTGGATCAAGTCATCAACATCTCCAGTCTCTACTCAAAAGCGTGCATCACTTTCCTATTTGTGACAACCAAAAAAAAAACCAAACAAACCATCTCCTGAGGGGAAAATTCCCCACCAACAAACACAGGGGTAGAACAAATGCTCCCTTAGGAGCATGCCTTAAAATTTAACAAGAGTTTTCTCCACTCACACATAAAAGAATTTTTTAAAAATATAGTCTAAGTATTTGTAGAGGCTTTGTAGTGTCTGTTCTCAAATTAACTGAATGTTCCTGATATAACAAGTCACTTATTGTATCCACTTAATAAAGGAAAATTTGTGTCTATCAGGGATTACACTGCTTTTAGGTTATCTTTAAAGGAAATGGTCAGAATAGCTATCAACACTAAGAGCTCATCAGAACATGTCTGGAACTGGGGTTAGGGGGTTGGGGTAGGGGAGAGGAGGACAAACTGGAATTAAGTTGAAAAAACATTAAGTGTGATAAGATCCAACACATGCTGGATTATAGCCCAAGGGGAGAAAAAACATTAGAATTATTTTTAAATGTACTTTTATATACTATTTATTACATTTATTTGAATACATATTTGTTCAATAATCCCTCATGAAATTAGTTAAGAGACTGAAGTGAGCAGTAATTATATATGTATGCACGTATGGTATGTAAGCAGGTAGGTATGTAAGGCCTTGAGAAGACAGACCTAAATTGAACAGTGTCCTCCTAAAAGTTCATGTCCACCTAGAATCTCAGAATGTGACTTTATTTGAAAACAGGGTCTCTGTAGGAGTAATTAGTTAAGATAAGATCATACTGGTTATGTGGGCCCTAATCCAACAACTTGTGTCCTTTAAAGAAGATATTATGTGCACACCATGGGAAAAAGCCATGTGAAGCATGACCATGAGGCAGAGACAGGAGCAATGCATCTATAAGCTGAAGAACGGCGAGCACAGTCGGCATCCAACACAAACTAGAGTGAGGCAAGGCTGGATCCTTCCCAGTCTTCAGATAGTGCATGAGCCTGCCAACAGCTGTGATTTTCAACATCTAATCTTCTGGGCATGAGAAAATAATTGTCTGTTGTTAGAAATCACCAAGTGTATAGTACTCTGTTGTGACAGTTCTAAGAAATTACTACAGATATTATGTAGGTAAAGGGTATTCTTGGCTTATGCTTCCAGTAGAGAGATAACACATTACAGTAATATACTGGCTTAATAACTGAAAAATTGTTACAATGCCTGTTTGTAAAGTCTTATTTCAAAACTCATTTTGTTGTAAAGCAGTGCTGGATACTGGATCTATGAAAATTAATACAATAAATTGGTATTACATAATGTTTAATCTCATGACTTTATTGAATTTATTTAAATAGTATATAAGATTTAGAATATTACATTTGTTGTCAAAACATATAATGTCTAAGCTTTATCTTGAGGCAAAAGCAATAGTACTCTGTAAAGTCACTTAATCAGAAATGGGGGAAAATGAACAGCAAGAAGTATTAAATATTCCTTCCAATGATACCCATTCCTTCCAAAAATATCAGTCATTTCTTACCTATATTATCCTTTTCTTTGCAAGAAATTGAATAGCAGCAAATTTCTCTATCCTGAATAGCAGACAGGTTCCTGTAAGAAACAGTTCAAAGAATAAATGTTTGCTTAAAATAGTTGTCACACTGACCACTCTGCTTGATTTTACTTGTTATTTTCATTAGTACACTGAAGAAATTATTTTACTACTACTAAAACTTTAGGGATTCACTTCTCTCGTAGGCCAAGTTTATTTACTAAAAAAACAGGACTACAATAATTCCTGGATAATGTAATGATGCTAAACAGCACAGTGGGCATAATGTATGATTTAGAACTAAATTTTTAAAACAAGATAACTCATTCTTAGACATACATTTTTTCGATTAGCTGTTTCTCATCCAAGGCATTTGGAAGATCTCTCTTGTTTCCAAGTACTAGTACCTTTAAAATGAAAAGATATTAAGGATAAACATTTATATACAAAAATATCACAGAAGCATATCATTTTTATATCTGAAGATGTTAAAATTAATGTAAATACATACCTCAATACTAAAGCATATTTGCATAACTGGTGGCCTACCTCGTTCATTCAATTATTCATATTGATATTCACTTAATGCCTACCTCATAGATGCCTTTAATTCGGTATGCAACTGCAACTTCTATTTAAAACATTCTAAGTTTTGGGCTGGAAGTGTAGCTCAGTGGTAGAGCTCACACATGTGTACAAAGCTCTGGGTTCAATCCACAGCTCTAAAAAGAAACCTTCTAAGTTTATGTTGTACATTGTTATTTCTCTTTTTTTTAAAATATGTTTTAGTTATTGATAGACCTTTATTTTATTTACTTATTTATATACGTAGTGCTGAGAACCGAACCCAGTGCCCCCATACATGGTAGGCAAGCACTCTACCGCTGAGCCACAACTCCAGCCCCAAGTACATTACTGTTTCTTAATAAACCAAAACTAAAATAGGAACATATCTTAACCAAGGGTGGAAAGCCTTTCTTTCTTTCATTTTTTAATCTCAATCATACTTCGTGTGAACATAGAAACAGAATTTTAGTAAACCAGTATCCAGGAGCTGGGGATTTGACTCAGTGATAGAGTACATGCTTATCATGCACAAGGCCCTGGGTGTAATCTGTAGCAGCTACATAAATAATAAAACAGAATTTCAGGGTCCATTCTATAGAATATACTTATACAGTGTATACTTATACACTTATGAATACTCTAAGACAATGGATAAGTGTAGGCATCAGGATGAATACAGTAATTATATACTGTTATCATGACTGTTATATAAATATGCTTTCAAAAGAAAGCAGAAACAACCTTCTCAATTACCATTCTAACTTTCCCCAATACCCTTAAATCATTCATTCCTACCCTCTTTCTTTGTCTTCCTCCCTTTGTGGTACTGGGGACTAACACATGCTATGCACAAGTAGCTCTACCACTGATCTACATCCCCAAAAGCCCACCACCTCTTTTTAAGAGGGGTGTCACTAAGTTGCCTCAGGCTGTCCTGAACTTACGACCTTCCTGTCTGAGCTTCCTGAGTCACTGGGATTACAGGTGTGCATGGCCACCACACCCAATCTTAAATCAGTTTTCTACTGCTTGAAAGTGAGAATCCTTATGATGACCAAATAAAACTGATTTTTATTTATGGTATACAGAATTAGTCTTTAATATGGAAGAAAAAGAGTAAGACCTGAAGTCCGAAACAGATTCAAACCTGGCCTTGTGATAAATGTCTAATGACGGCTACGAAGATGGGGAAAAAAACACTAATCTCAGTATGTTGCGAGGATTAATGGAGGTAATGTAACTGAAGTATCAGGCCCTCATGATTTTATTGAGAGGCTAAAGCTGGTCCTCCCCAGCATTCCTTAGCCCAACTAATGGCACCACCTTCCATCTAACTGCAAGAGCCAGGAGCCAGAATTCCTCTTTATCCTTCACTTTTAATTCATTGCTTCATCTGTTGGACTATACTCCTACATGTCTCTCAAATCTATTTCCTTCTCCCCATGTCATTCACAATACTACCCTAATCCAACATCCTACAATTTGTCAGGGCTACTAAAACAGCTTCCTAAATCTGTCCTCCTCATAGTTCCTTCTTGACCACTTCGATTCATTTGTAACTATAATCAGAGTGATATATTCAAATACTAAATCTAATCCTTGCAAATACTTCAGTGATTTCCCACAGTCCTGCTCAGTGCGGCCTCTAGTGTCCCAGCTCCAACATTGCAGGCCATGCTCTACCCCATTCTCCCCACTCAACTGAGCTCTAGGGCCTACTTCCTACCACCAAAAGGCCTTCCTTGTCCTTCCCCTCCAGCTGTCACACCCCACACACTCCTATACATCCTTCAGCTCTCAGTTCACACATCACCTCCTCAGACTCCTTCCTCTTACCCTAAAACTATATAAAACCTCCCCTCTAAATGTCATCATAGAAATTATCAGAGAAGCATTATTTAGCTGTTTACAGACCATGTATCTTGCCCACTAAGCCACAAGCTCCATGAGCGCATGCAGTATGTTTTTACTCACTTCCACGCAACACCATATCCCTGTTGCCTAGGAGTTTAGCCAATGCCTAGGACATGGCAGATAACTCAGGAAATATAAATCTTTCAGACCTTTAAAAAGACGACATTTTACTAATTTCAAACATAACATGAAATCAGCTCTCTAAATCCACAGGTTTGACATCCATGGATTCAAACAAATGAGGATCAAAATTAATTTTTTAAAAAAGTGAAACTAATATACATGTACAGACTTTTTTTATAGTCGTCAACCCTAAATACTGTTAACTACTTATATAACATTTATAATGTATTGGTATTATAAGTAATCTGGAGATGACTTAAACAACATGGGAGGATGTATGTAGAGTACATGCAAGTAATACGCCATTTTGCATAAGGACTTCCAGGCACAGAGGCGCACACCTGTATCCCAGCGGCGCAGGAGGCTTGCAAGTTCAAAGTCAGCCCAGCGACTTAGCAAGACCCTGTCTCTAAGTGAAATATTTAAAAGGGCTGGGGATGTGGCTAGTGGTTAAGCACCCCTGGGTACAATCCCTGGTACCAAAATATCAATAATAATAATAAATAATAAATAATAATAGGCCATTTTTATATCCATAGAAGGCCCCAGAACTGATCTCTGTGGATCCTTAGTGACAACTATTATCCTATAATTATAAATGTAAAGTAACACATAACCCATACTTACAGGAATTCCTTGTAACTGTGGTTTATCTAGAAGATTATGTAGTTCATTTCGAGAGGCTTCTATCTTATCACGATCTGCAGCATCTATCATGTAACTTAAAAAAAAGAAATGATCAATATGCCTTTTCCATGTGCCTTGATGATGACAACTAGGACATAGATTTTTAATTGTCTTACGATTTAATGTTGTTAAAATTGTTAAAAGTCCTAGATAAAGAAAAGCTCAGCATTTATAAACGCTTTCAGCAAGTGTTTGTAGAGACTTAATACATGCTAGCATTTATGTCCTGTAGCTCTTAGCTACACAAACAAACATAAATAAAGCTTTCATTCTACAGTTGATTTTTTTTAAACTCTCATGTTAATGAAATTACACTAAGAAATTAGAAAAGAAAGATTTTTATTGCCTGACATAAAGACCTAGACTTCGGAAGTATTAAAACAACCTTCTCCTCAGAAGCCTAAATTGATTTAAATTTTTAACAAAGCTTACACGATGGCATTGACTCCTCTGCAATACCGTTCCCACATGCTCCGGAATCGGGGTTGTCCTCCTATGTCCCAGATCTTTAAATTAAGACAAAACAATTCTCAATAAAGGTATTTCAAATACTTCACTGAAGGAAGAATGGGAGAGAGATCAGGAAGACATATTTAATCTCACAGTGTGTCAAAGTGCTCCTAAAAACTTAAGCTCAAATAAGCTCTTAATCTGGGAATTCTTTGGGGCACTTCTAAACTTGATGTCCATATTTAATAGGCTAACATTAGATCTAAAACTCTGCTTGAGCAAAGACTTGGTTCATGTGCCATAATTTCTTCCTTTTCCTGTTAACTCATACACTTCTAATACTAAAAATGTCTTTAATGTAACAATTTCAAAATCTACAGAACCATGAATCAGCCAGATTTCAATCCCAAGATAGAAAACAACAGTTCAGAAGCTATTGTAAAGTTCAATTGTCTGAATGCCCAATCTTTTTAAGTTATCCTATGAACAATACAGCCACCATTCCCACGTAGGTGTTTTTCATAATAAATATTAAGCCTATTCTGTACAGAACCATGTTGATCACTGAGCTACATAAAACTCTTAAGTCATGGTATTTACTTTCAAGGTTTCCAACTTAGCCAGGTACCAGAAAAATGTATAAAGAGACATATATACATGACTAAATAAGGAGTTTCATCCAGAAAAGCCAAAGAATTTAATGAACAGATTCTACAAATCACAAGAACTGGGCAAAACAGTCATTATGGTCCAGGCCATTTTTAGAAATAAATGTCCATGAAAGATTGAATCAAAGCATCAAAAATAACCCCAATGAGGTGCTGAGGTTGTGACTCAGTGGTAAGTGCCTGCCTAGCATGCCTGAAGCACTGGGTTCAATCCTCAGCACCACATAAAAGTAAATAAATAAAATAAATGTATTATGTCCATCTACAACTTAAAAAAAAAAAAAAGGCAGTAACTGTTAAAAAACAAAACAAACAAACAAACAAAAAAAAACCAATGAAAATGCTAAAATATTATCCCTAACAATGGTTCAGGATATAAACCTATTAAACTCATTCTGAAAAGAAAATCATGTTAAAGAACTAGTTAACTTTTTCCTATTTTATAGTTTCAATTTTAGGCTTAGAAGAAGAAAAACTGGGTGATGGTATTGTTGCCAAAGACATAATATCAAAGTATCAATATTATAAATAATTAATTCCCTCTCAGTATAAAATATTATTCATGAAACAATGTAATGCCACAATCCAAACATGCTGAAGATGAGATCTTTATTTCTTGGGAATACCTAGATCCCAAATATCACTTCTACTAATCCATATGCTAATTTTTAATGGCACTTAACATTTCAACTCTTTTTTTTTTTTATGTGTCTTTTTTTAATATTTATTTTTTAGTTTTTTCAGCGGACACAACATCTTTGTATGAATATGGTGCTGAGGATTGAACCCGGGCTGCCCACATGCCAGACGAGCGCGCTACCGCTTAAGCCACATCCCCAGCCCAACATTTCAACTCTTATACATTCTTTATGAAGAAACAAAAATGATTACATGCCCATTCATTACCTAGGAACTGCAAAATACTCAAGCAAAACCAGAGAAACAGGGAAAATTTCCAAGCTGTGTATTCTAACCATGGATTACAGAAAAAAACTGACGTACCTTTATTGTGACGTTACCTTTAGTCACTTTCCTCATGTTGAAGCCCACTGTGGGTATCATATCTTCACTGAATTGACCTGACTAAACAAACAAAATGTCTGGAGTTAGATGAATCAGTATTTATAAAGAGAATAATCTTCTAGCATCAACACTACGTCTGTACCCATTTTAGCAAATAACTCATATTTTAGTGGTGCTAACAAACTACTTTAAGAAAATGTTCCTCATAGCCCCAGCTCTTAAAGAAGAACATTACTTTGCTCATATAAAAGCATATTCTTCCATTAAAAAGACACTTTGGAAACGAGGCATCTTACATTACAAACACTTATAAAAATTTATAAATTCTCCCACACATATTTTCACAAAGTAGAAGAAAACCAGAAGAAAAACTTCTGTTTTTTATTTTCATTAAACTAGTGTGACAATAAATGTTAACATTCATTGCTGAATAGTTTTTATGAGTTAGTCTTTTAATAATAAGGCTCATAAAATGTTGTCATATAGCAGTTCTTCCTTTTACATAATCAACTGTCCTTTTGGGCTTCTATTCTCGATATCATAAGACTACAACTAAATATTTGTCATAGTATTCATATGACTTTTTCACATTTAAAATATTCATCAGTTTGGAACTTGATTATATACTTAAAGGAAGATTCTATTTCCAAATGACTAACCTGTAATCATCCCACCATCAATTTAAAAATCTACTCTTTCATTTAGTAAGATAGAAATTAGGTGCTTCATGTAAACATTTAAGGATGAAAGATATATCCAATTTTCCAATTTACTTCTTGAATTTCCTGACATTTACCACTTCATTGTATAAATAATTATTGAACTTCTTATTGATCTACTGAGCAAATATTGTAGCTTTTTTATATGTTTATAAATACTTTTCCTGGGTTCCTATGGGTTGATGTGAGGAATAGGCTACCTATTAAGCACAAATAAGAGCAAGTGATTTATTCTAAAGTCATCACTAGGTATTGAGACATAATATTTTATGTTTTCCATTTGGGTGAAGCATGCATACCTTGTAAAAATGTACCTAAAGAAAAATGGGCAATTTATGATAAACATTTTTATTAAATTAAACCTGAGAAAAGGTCCACTTTGCCCAACTAATTAAGAGTGATCTGCTAAATACTATACAAAGAAAGGTGGGTTCTCAATTTTCACCAGTCTGTTTATTCCTGAGTAAACACTAGGGTTTTTTGTGTGTTGTTTTTTTTTTAATCAAAGCTTATTCTATGTATTATTGTACACAGTAGATCAAGAATTTGGAGCATTTTCAAATTGCCTTCCTGCATCTCCCACCTTCCAAGTAAACTGTAGAAATTAATAATTTTAATATATCAGCTAGAATTATACTAAATACATTAACTTAAGAAGAACAGTCCTTTATCAACTCTTAATATCTAACCACTATGTGGTCTCAGGCATGTGGTTATCTACTGAGTCATTCCAATCTTATACCTTTCAGAAAAGTATCAAAATTGGCATAATTTCTTACAAATTTCTTGCCATATTCTTTGACAGCTATTGTGAAAGACATCTTAATGAGCCATAGTAAATACTGACTTATGTATTTATATTCCAGCTGCTTTGGCAAAAAGGTTAATGAGTTAACCTTTTTAGGTAAGCATACTAAGAGTAATGAGTATCTCAACACCTAAATGGTTAAACAAATAAGACTAGTTTCAAGGACTGGTTAAATAAATAAGACAATTTTTATTTTCAAGGCCCTAACCCTAGCCAATTTTTTGTATAACTTAAGCTAGCCACTATAAGTCCCAAGCAAACTAAATTCCCATTTTATAGAACTCCAAAAGTTCATTCATTCTCTCCTGTTCAGTGGTGTTTTGGTTGAGAAAAAATGTTAGCACAACTAATCATTAATTTCACTTATATTAGACATTAATTCTCAGAACTTTCATATATATGAACTGTGTGACAATCTATTCATGAATCAAAACTAGATATATCAAAACTAATCATAATAGGGCTGTAGTTGTGGCTCAGTGGTAGAGCACTTGCCTGGCACGTGTGAGGTACTGGATTCGATCCTCAGCACCACATAAAAACAAAAATAAAGATATTTAAAAAACTAATCATAATAGAAGATATACAAATAGCCAATAAGCACATGAAAAGATGTTCAATGTCACTAACCATTAGGGAAACACAAATCAAAACCATAAAGAGATAGCACCCATTAAGATGGCTACTAAAAATATAAACAAAAGGGGTTGGTATAGATGGCAAATTCCTATAATTCCAGGAACTCAGTAGGCTGAGGCAGGAGCATCAGAAGTTGTAAGTCAGCCTCAGCAAGGCCCTGTCTCAAAATAAAAATAAAAAGGGCTGGGTATGTAGCTCAGTGGTAGAGAACTCTAATGTGCATGAGGCCCTGGTTTAATCCCTAGGATTGGGGGAGGGGACAGGGACAATTAGTTAAAATCTACCAGTAGGTTCCCTGGGCACTCCCCATTCCTAGGTTACAGAAATGTCAAAGAGGTAACTGTCAGAAAAGTATAAAGCAGAGAATGTCTGTGACTGAAACCAGATGCACAGACCTTCAAACCACAAGACTGAACAATCACATTTTCTTAGGGTCATAAGGACACTTGGTAACACTTGGTAACCTCCAGACCAAGATAGTTGCTCACAACCCACATTCCAGAACTGGTCACCTCTCAAGACAAACTACCATGGCGCCAATCTACCTGAGACTTGAGACATTTCCACAAAAGATTCAATATAAACCTTTTTTGTTCCTGGTAAGGAAGACAGGGGAACAGCCTCCTATCTCCCTTGATGTAGGCTTATTGCTAATGAAACATTTTCCTCTCAAAGTTATTGGCTCTCTAAAGATGGCAGCACAACCAGACTTTGTACAGTTAAAGTTACCAGCCTCAGGTATTTTATTACAGTAACAGAAAACAGTCTAGACCATAAGATCCCACAATTCCTTTTCTGGGTACATATCCCAATGAATTGAAAACAGAGACTTAAAAAGACATTTTGTATACCTATATTTACAGCACTGTTATTCACAATAGCCAAAAGGTGGAAGCAACCCAAATGTCCTTGAGCAAAAATGAACAAGATGTGATATATACATTCCATAGCTACAGCATGGATTACCATGAAGACATCATGGTAAGTGAAAATAAGCCAGTCTCAAAAAAAAAAAAAAAAAAAAAAAGAAAAGAAAAGAAAAAAAGACATTTTCTGATTTCACTTATAGAACGTGCCTAAAAGGAGCCAAATCCATAGAAACAGAAAGAATGGTGGGGACTGAACACATTCCTAGCATGTAGCAAAACCTGAGTTCAATCCCAGCACTGGGGAAAAAGAAAACAAAATGAAGGTTCCCAGAAGCTGGGGGAAGAGACACTGAGGAACTCCCTTTAGTGAACACAAAGATTAAAAAAAAAAACTTCTAGAGATAGACAGTGGTGTTGGTCACACAAAATGTATTTAATACTATGGAACTGCACACCTAAAAATGGTTAAGGGGCCAGGCACCATGGCACACGCCTGTAATCCCAGCAACTGAGGCTGAAGCAAAAGGATGGCAAATTCAAGGTTAGCTTGAGCAACTTAGCAAGACAAAACAAAGCAAAAAATGCCAGGAATATAGGTCAGGGTTAGCACAGAACTGGGTCCAAACCCCAGATTCAAGTTCTAATACTGTGAAGTGGAAAAAAAAAGTTAAGATATTTTCCACATTTAAAAAAAAGAAAAAAAAAAAGTCATGACATAGGAAGAGGCAAATCATTACCATTTTATAGAAAAAGGAAATAGATTTCCAAGTACCTTCTGGCAGTAAAAATTTGTGACTATAAACGTTATAATGCTACATTACAATAATAAAATGATGTACAGAGCTGCAGTTTACTGGGGTATGCATCTCTTCATTATTTCTCAGACAGCAGGTGCTAACAATAATTTTCCTATAATTTAGTTACTGTTGATAATGTGGAACAACTGAAAATTAGGTAAGCAAGTATACTTGAGTTTTTATTCAAAATATCTTGCGTTCAGCAAGATTCCCATAAACATGTGTTGAACACACTAAGAATTATTAAGCTACAAAGGAGGAAAATACTGAAACTCTTCTATCAATAAAGTACTTACAGGGCTGGAGACAAAGCTCATCGGTACAGCACTTGCCTAGTTGGCACAAAAAAACGTGGTTGGGCAAAATAAAACGGTAAAGAGACCATTCCCAAAGTCAGGGAATCAGTAAGTCATGAGACCCACTTTGAAATTCAGCTTCCATATCCAGAAGGAATTGGAATACTATCTCCAAAGTCACAGAAAGTTCTTAACATTGATGGTTTTATGTTTTACCATAGGTCTTTCAGTTAAAATATATTTAAGTAAGCAGATAAATGCCTACAGCAGTGGAAAAACAATGCCAACTCCATCATGCAGAATTTACTACTAGAGATTTCAGAAGTGAGACAAATGGAAAAGGGTTAAAAAAAAAAAAAATTAAAGGGAAGAGAGAAACCAACGTAAAGTCAACACCAGGAAAGCAAAAGACATGAGACAATGAACCTATATTAGTTAAAGAATTTCACCAAAGACACTCTGACACTTCAAAACAATTTGGATGGGGGAGGCATCAACTTTGTGTTTCAGTGTAGAGATGTGCTGTGCTTTGATTACTTATAAACTCTGATATCTGACCCTGCTGAGAACAGAATGAAATCCTAGCACATTTCAGTCTTTTAAAGTAGGATCATTCTAAATGGACTAGACTAGATTTTACAATTGTTCTTTTAAATGAACTAATTCAGAAAGCATGCTATTAACAACATGGGAAAAGAAGTTTCTCTCTGTTTGACCTGTATATCTATACTAGCAATCAAATATGATATAATAAACTTTAAAAGACAGTGGAAAAGTACCTTCTCTGACAAACAACTCATAATAGTTTTTTTTTTCTCCAAGAATTTTTTTTTTAAGGTACTGGTTATCAGGCTGCATTATAAAAACAGAATGAAATAAGGAACACCACAAAAATCTCTTATTAAATTTCTGCTTTTAGCCTGAAAAAAAAA